ATTGTTGAACTGTTTCTAATCTGCATTTATTTTTAAAAATTATAATTTTATACAGGGATGTAGAACTTGTTTAGTGGTTAAGAAACATGCAATGGATAATAACCTAGATATCGCTCATATCTCTCATTATCATCACATTACAATGTACATTTTGAAGAAATTTTTGCAGCTTTAACATTTACACAACAAAATAATATTGTAAGAGAATATGGTTTACAAAATAATTATCCAATACTCGATCAGCTTCAATTTGAGTGACATCTATAATTGTTGCAAGATACATATCATCTAACAGCGCTTCTTGATTAACATTTCTGTAAAACAAAATTTGGTATATTTCTTTTTGTGAAACTCAAATTTGATATACTTCTTGATAGATCAATAACATAATACAAACCTAAAATATCATGCGAAATAATATGAAATATATATGAAGGATTTTTTTTTAAAAAATTAAAAACATTTTCTCGTATTTATATTATTTGCGCATGTTAATTATTAAAACTTATTATCAAAATGTTCTTATTCTAATTAAAGTAACTCAAAAATTACTATCAAGTTAAATACCAAATTTGGGATTCACAGAAATATCTATTAAGAAATATACTAAATTTGGGTTTCACAAAATTATCAATCAAAAAGCATATCACAAGTCTATCAAGATCAATACTTTTGCATCTATGATTTATGACTATGTTATATGACTTAATTCAGGTCAGCATTATTAAATATAACTTCCATAAAAGGTAATTCATATTATACAAAGACTTAAAATGACACTTTTTAGATTTAAATACGTTATACAAAATTTATTGCTTTTGTGTAATATTACATAACCCAATGAAGGCAAATTAGTTTTCATAATGCTGGCTAAAATTATATAAATCACATGATTTTTATATGATCTTATGATAATATGAAGTCAAAATGAAAATCCAAAAGTTGAAATAAAAAGTTGAAATGGTCAAAATGATATCATATCACATGATTTTTCATATAGAAAAAAATTCTAAAAAATAAAAGTGTATGATCTATATCAATACTGCTTTGATTCATATGAAAAAAACTAACATTCTATTTCTTGTGACTAGACAGATTAATGAGTTAATATTCATTGATTTTGAATCAGCTTTTTTTTTTTTTTAAAAAAAAAACACAGTAATGCATTTATTTATTAAAAAATTCATAATCAGTTTAAAAGAAAACATGAAAATCCCAGAAAAGTGCACAAATGTAAAAAAATAAAAAATGCTACTTAATAATCATCATTAGTAGACTAACTCTAATCAGACTAACCAATTATTCCATTAGGCTCTGATAATAATTGCTAGTAATGTTACTATCACTACCCAACTAAAGAATAGAAAATGTTTAACAAATAGTTATTACTAGGGTTCCTCCAAATCGAATCGAATCAAATATTTAAGCAATTTGAATTTGATTTGATTTTTTTAAATCGAATCAAATCGAATCAAATTGAACTCAAATATTTGATCAAATCAATTTGAATCAATTTGAATTTGATCGAATAGAATCAAATTAAATCAAATATTTGTCCAATCCAATCCAATCCAATCCAATCCAATCAAATCAAATATAAAAAATTTTTTAATTTTTACAATGATATATTAAAATAAAGTTATTATAAAGGTTTAATTAA